CTGGGGGAATCGAACCGCGGTCCCTGATGCTTTGCTAAGCTTGTTCTAAGTAGGTGCTTTAGACCACGGAGCCATCTCTCCAGCCCTCAGAAATTTTGTATATGCCACATGTTGCTCTGATTGCCATAGGTGCACTATTTTTTTTTAAGAGACGTGCCTGTAGGTCTTAGATTATAGAAGGTTATAAATGAACAAGGACTGCGGGTGGCTGAGAGTGGGTGGTCAGTGTTTCAGACAGTGTAAGCAACGTGAGAAAAAGCACCGTCTTAGGAGTGTCTTGCTGCTCCAACCGCCTCCCTATGAGTGCGTGACGCTTTGAGGGGACGCCCAAGTGCCCCTGAAACAGCAGGAAGTAGAGAGATGGGGCCCCATGTGGAGAAATTGCCAGAAACAGTTGGAAAAGAATGTTTTCTTTAAAATACTAATTATAGTTCAGATATCGATAGAGGTATCTTTAACAATACTTTTGTGAAAGGCATCTTGGCTTTTAAGTTCTTAAATTGTTTTTAATGCTCTGCTTGTTCTTTTTTTATAGAGTCATAAAGAAGCTTATCAGGCAGAATTTGAAGTACATATTCAAAGAAATAGAGTACGGGTCCTCAGGAGAGAGGTGCACTATATTCTGGAGATGGGGCTTTTAATGTGTTTTGAGAGGTGGACACGTAAGGAATTTGTGAATTATGGGAAGTTGTATCTTGCTCTTGTTTTCTGGGGAAAAAGGGTGGCTGCAGAAAAATTATGACCCATATTATAGGTGGAAAAAATGAGCCCAGTCTATTTTTTAACAGATAGGTGATCTAAGATATTTTCCCATAAAGCATTGTTTGAATTTTCTCAGTCTGTTCCGTATCTTTTTTTTTTTTTTTTTTTTCTTCTTCTGTATTTTAGTACAAGGTCTACAGGGTCTCACTACACAGATCACACTCTAGTGATTCTCCTGTTTTCAGCCTCCCAAACACTGAGATTACAGGTGTGTTTGCCACCACACCCTGCGCCAGGGACGGGGCCAGCACAGCATGCCTGGAGTCGAACCCGGGCCCTTGCATCTGCCTAAGCAGGCACTTTAATTCACTGAGCTATCTGGCTGGCCCGTGTTCCCATATCTTAAGATCAGCTTCCTGATCCTTATCAACTAACCTAAGTAATGGATTTAAAGTATATTTAAAGTGAGTCTGCCAATGTTCTCAGTGGCTCACAAATCATAGCTGCCAGAGTAGATCTTTGGTTTTCACAGCTAGAGGCTGCAGCAACAAAAAATGAGCAGACCCCTAGGAAAGGTGCTGTGCCTGTGGAACAATACCATTTTAAAGGAAGCCTTTCGCTGCTAATATTCAAAACTTGGGGAGAGAGTCCTATTATTATTAATGAGCACCAGTTGGCAGCACAAGACAAAGCCCACTCATGGCATTGGAAGATACAAGCACCTACAAGACCCCAAGAAGAAGGGAAAAGTGGAAGTGAGACCAATTAATTTGGGGACAGATTATGAATATAGGGTTTTAAACATTCACCTGACTGCATATGATACAACCCTGGTGGAGAGTTATTCTCAGTACGTACACAATCTCTGCAACCATCTCTCCATCAAAGTTGAGGAAAGTCATGTTATGCCCACCAAAACCGTGGAAGAGTTCCGCATGCAGGACCGAGGCATCAGAATGTTCCTGGACTCGGTCCTGACCACCACGAGTGAGTTGCTCAGATCAGCGGGCTGAGTGCTACATTTTTGGAGATTTTCTTGGAGATACTCCAGAGCAATCTTCCTGCAGGAGCCAGGTTGTCAGCGAGGGAGCGCACTGAAGGGGACTTCAAGAGAAGGCTCAACGCTCATCCGGAACTGGAAAAACTGTTGGCCCAGGTGAACTAGCTCTTGCAGGCCATTTCCTGATGACACTGGTGACACTGCCAAGAGGAGAAGCCTCTTGAGAGGGTGGACTTGAGCCGGAGGAGAACCTGACCCTTGGCTTCGTTTCTGCCTTTTCCTACAAAAGCAATGTTTCCTCTCCCCTGGCATGGTTGCTAGCAGTTCTTAACACTTACTTTGAGATAATCTGGAGCGCCCCTCAGCTAATAAAAACTGTTACTATGGGGAAAAAGGGATTTGGGGTGTGATGGGGCTGGAAGAAAGTATATCCAAGTCAGGGGGTACAGACATAGATAACTTGTGTAACTTTGTGCCCATAAGTTACAGTCTTCTTAAAGGTAGAATTTTTGAACTATTATTTTCTTTACCTCCTTCTGCCTATCTTTACTTATTTT